CTCTTTTTATGTTTCTGCTATTTCTATTTAATTTTCTTCTCTTTTTTTTTTTTGCTTCCTTCTTCTTCTTTTTTTATGTTACGATAAAATGCTTTCGGAGAGATCATAGGCAAAAGAATTTAGAAATGTGATTGGAAACTGGAAATTCATGACTATATGATGACTATAATAAAATAATGTCAGTGTCGCTAGGTGACTGCTTTATCAATTGATATGGTTACAATTAAGCGCTAAATTAATCCTCTTTGTTTCAGGTTTCTTCGTTATTTGAAGAAAAGTAAATCCTAAACCCAAATATGATAACGCATAAATCAATATAAGAAGTAATACTGAACGAGAAGGCAGAGATAGCGGTTTTTGTATTTGCTTATACATCTACCTCGCCCGGCCGCTATAAAAATTTCGCCGCCCGGCCGGCCTTCCTCGGTATCAATTATGTTTACTTGTCATATAGTCACTGCATTGCGATCCCGAAGGCAGTCTCGATGGCTTATAAAGATTAAAGGGCATACATACCATGGTTAAACAAACGTTACGTAATTATTTAATTAATTAAACACAGTACACCCTTTTTAAGCCATGATGGGGACTGCCTTCAAGATCGCAATGCAGTGACGTCATCAAATGAGAAGAATGAATTTGTATATATTGCATGTATACATGTAGAGGCGGCAGAGCGACTTTCAAAGTGGGGGGGGGCACCAACAAAAAGGGCACTTTCTGGAAGAAAAAATGGCACCTTCAAAGAGAAATCTCAAAGCGAAAATATACAATTTGTTAGACATTGGTTTATACCCTATATTGTGATTACATTATCAGGGATGATTTCAATACTTGTTTCTTTTTATACATCATATTACATAATTGCCTAAGCATCATACTTTGCAGTTTGTTGGGATTATCTTAAAAATTCATATGCGAGCGCGCAAAGCAAGCGAGAAAATTTGTGAGGTCGCAGTGCGAAAAATTACATCTTATAAAGAGGACAAACCCAACGGGTTATAAGCACATTCTCATAATGTAAGACTGAAAAGACCTTTGATAAGTTTTGGGGAAATTGCTCTTAGTCGCTTGAAATTAGGGGCACGTTTAATGATGAGAGGAAAAGGGGACACTTATCGAAAGGGTTAAGACACTTATAAGAAAAGAAAAGGAGCACGTGTCAAAGTGCAAAGGCTAATTATCAAAGGTGAAAATGGGGCACTTAATTCTTACACCTAAAAAAGAGGCACGTACCAGGGATGAAAAGGGATTTTATGAGAATGGGAAATGGGCATTTTTCGACGGAAAAGAGGCACCCATCAGATTTTGATAGGGGAATTTATAAGAAGTGAAAGGGGGCATTCATGAAAAGGGGCACTGACCATACATGAAAAGAGGCACTTATGAGAATGAAAAAGGGCACTAATGATAAAGGGAAATGTGCATTTGTTGAAAGGAAAGGGCACCGATCAGATTTTAATAGGGGCATTTAACGGAGGTGAAAGGGGGCTTTTATGAAAAGGGGGAGTGGCTCTTAACGGGGCACTTAGGAAAGATGAAAAGGGGTAACTATGAGAAGGGGAAGGGGCACTTATAAGAAGGAAAAGGAGCATTTATTAGGAAGGAAAAGGGGACGTGTAAAAATAAAAAAGGGGCACATATGAGAATAAAAAGGAACTATTTTCATAGACGAAAAGGTGCATTTATTAGAAGGGAAAGGGGCTCTTTTTAGATGGGGGCACTTATCATAAGGAAAAGGGGAACTTATTAAAAAGTAAAGGGGGCACATGTGAAAATATAAGGTGCGCTTATCCAAGTTAAAAAGGGGTAGTTATTAAAAGGGAAGGGCACTTTGACAAAGGAAACAGGAAAAGGGGCACCTCTCATATTTTGAATAGGGCGCTGAAGGGGGCGGTTATCAAAAGTGAAAGGGAGCGGTTCTCGTACCTGAAAAGGGGACCTTACTAGAGATTTTAAAAAGGCACTTATGAGAATGGAAAATGAACACTTATTGCAAAGAAAATTGGAACTTGTCAAAGGAAAAGGGGTACTGTCAAAATAAAAGGGGCGCTTATCTATGGTGGCTCCTAAGGGACACGCAAACGCAAAATTTTGACGCATACCTATGCAACAAATTTGTGGATTTTCACGTCAAAGACGTGAAAATCCACAAATTTGACGTATACCGATGCAACAAATTTGTGGATTTTTACGTCAAAGACGTGAAAATCCACAAATTTGACGTATACCTATGCAACAAATTTGTGAATGTTCACGTCAAAGACGTGAAAATCCACAAATTTGACGTATACCTTTGCTTGGTATTTTTTTCGTTTTTCTGTACTCAATGGCCCTGAAGGGACACGCAGACATGAAAATCTGCGTCCGATATTCATGTCTGCGTCTCCCAAAAGGGACACGCAGACGTGAAATTGGACGCAGATTTTCTTCTCCTTCACGTCTTGGACGTAAAATAAAAATAAAACCCTTGCAGAGGTATACGTCAATTTTGTGGATTTTCACGTCTTCGACGTGAAAATCCACAAATTTGTTGCATAGGTATACGTCAAATATATACGTCTGCGTCGGCCCAAAAGGGACACGCAGACGCGAATTTTGGACGCGAATTTTTTTTTCCAGTAAGCTGAGCACCAGGAAGATAAGTGTATATGGGTTCGTTCAGCTATGTTTTAGACAGCTTTATCTCGACATTAATTTTACACCACTTCATTCTATTTTATGGACTAAAATTGATATATACTATAGAAGGCCTAGATACATTATGTAAACATATTTTGCCTGTGAGCAATTACTTCTTTTTGTGCATCTTGTTGCCATTTGCCCCCCCCCCCCTCCTATCACACCCTTTTATTATCTTTCTATTTCTTTCCATCTCTCTCTATCTATCCTGTCCTTCCTCCCTTCCCATTCTCTCTGTACTATGTGTATTCGAAATTCGACAGAGAGAGAGAGAGAGAGAGAGAGAAAAGGAGAGAGGGGAGAGACAGATTGGGAGAGAGAAACGTTGAAAGAGGAGAGAGAGGGGATAAACAGATTGGGAGAAAGATGAATTAAGAGGAGAGAGAGAGGGGAGAGACAGATTGGTAGAGAGAAACGTTGAAAGAGGAGAGAGAGAGAGAGAGAGCTGGGGATAAGCAGATTGGGAGAGAGAAGGGAGAGACAGATTGAGAGAAAGGTGAATTAAGAGGAGAGAGAGAGGGGGGATAAACAGATTGGGAGAGAGAAGAGAGAAACAGATTGGGAGTGAGAAACGATAAAGAGGAGAGAGAGAGAGAGAGAGAGAGAAAGGGACATTGGGAGAGAGAAATAGAGAGGGGCAGACAGATTGGGATAGAAAGAGGAGGGAGAGGGAGAGACAGATTAGGAGGGAGCAAGGAAAAGATCGAGAGAAGCCGGGGAGAGAGAGAGTGGTGGGACATTAGGAGACACTGAGAGAGAGGGAGAGATGAAAAGAAATACAGAGAAAATAAAAGGGTGTGATAGGAGGGGGGCAAATGGCAACAAGAAGCACAAAAAGAAGTAATTGATTGGTAATGAGAGAAGAAGAAAATCAACAATTTGAGCTATATTCAATGCATTTGTATTTCTTTGTGATTTTGTTGTTTATATATTTTGTCTAAATTTTTTAGGAGCCACGTACATACTCTACTGCTCTCTATTAACATATCCTTCTCTCTTCACCTTCTTTTTCCCCTTTCTATCACTCCTCTATTTCCCTCTTCTTCTTTTTTTTTTATCTCTCTCTATACGATTTCGTCATGAAAATGGTTTTAAAAAAAAAATCATTGTAGGCCTACCGTATTTATTTGCTGTTGGTAACTAAATTAATGAAACAAATGAAGTCCATTATGGTACCAATTTTGTAATGTTATTGTTACATAACTTCCTCTATTAGTCATCTGATTGTCCTCAAACATAAATGATAGTGAATGAATAACATGTACGTTGCAACTTGTAGCATTCCATTGCCAAGTGCATTCTTGCTGAAAACAATAACAAGTGAGACTTTAGAGACACTGAATATAGTCTGCAAGCACAGACCCTAATTTGACACTTTACCCCCCCAAAAAATCATTGTGCCTTGAGAGAAGCCTAGCCCAGCTACCTACTGGTTGTGTCAGGAGCAGCTATAGTACATGGCCTATGGTAGTCTTATAGTGCAGACTCTCTTTTACGACTGACCACTGACCAGGGTTTGTGCCTGCAAACTACACTGAATAAGTTAGGTGTAGGGTCTGTAATTAGAAGACTGTGAATCTGGACAGAGTATTCGATACCAGCTGGTAATCCCTTTATCAGTAACTAGGGGCAGACAAACCCATGTACGCTTATCTTCCTGGTGCTCAGCTTACTGAAGAAAAAAAATCGCGTCCAATATTCGCGTCTGCGTGTCCCTTTTGGACCGACGCAGACGTATATATTTGACGTATACCTATGCAACAAATTTGTGGATTTTCACGTCGAAGACGTGAAAATCCACAAAATTGACGTATACCTATGCAAGGGTTTTATTGTCTTTTTACGTCCAAGACGTGAAGAAGAAGAAAATCTGCGTCCAATTTCACGTCTGCGTGTCCCTTTTGGGAGACGCAGACATGAATATCGGACGCAGATTTTCATGTCTGCGTGTCCCTTCAGGGCCATTGAGTACAGAAAAACGAAAAAATTACCAAGCAAAGGTATACGTAAAATTTGTGGATTTTCACGTCTTTGACGTGAACATCCACAAATTTGTTGCATAGGTATACGTCAAATTTTGCGTTTGCGTGTCCCTTAGGAGCCACCATACTTATCAGAGGTGGAAAGGGGAAGGGGCACTTTTAAAAATTAATAGGGTACTTGTCAAAGTCAAAGGGGCAATTTTCCTATGTAAAAAGGGGCACTTCTTACAGAGTTAAAGGGGCGCCGGGGGATAAGCTTACACCAATAGGGGTCTACACCGGAAAACTGTGGGCCATAATGGCTTATCTAAGAAAAACTATCGCTTGGGAACCTCCATGCAGTACCAAGACCACTTCTCTGATTTCATGAAGGTTCCACATCGGGAAACGGTTGCAACCATTGCCTTATCTCAAAGAAGGACTATCATTTCGGCGTCGAACGCATAACTTCATTTTCCAATCCCACTACTGTGACCAATACGCACTGTCGCATCATTTAAGAGGCATTTTAAAAAACTCATTTGTTTTCTTTGTAATTGTCATTTTTTAGAGTGTAATGCACTTGGAGAGTATATAACTATTATGTTTGTATTTTAAAATGTAAAGCGCCTTGAGCATGTTCATGTAAAGGCGCTAAATGAATACCAATGTGTATGTATGTATGTACTGTCTTTTCTCGATCCTTACAGGTTGGTTCCGAAATTCGACGGGGGACATCTCGGACAAGTACTATGTCTCTATCACCCCAGCTGGCTGGGCCTTTAGCATCTGGGTCTCATCTACATCTGGCAAGCAATCTGGATCATCTATGTCATCGTCAACATCTTCAGGACCAACAAGTTTGGCAAGGTGAGTGGGTAATCTCAACACCATTATACATGATATCAAATTAATTTATTGAAATAAAAATCATCCGGAATGTTATCTGTGTCTCGAAGGCCAGTTTGGCAAGATTAAATGTTTAACTCAAAGACACACAAAAATGTGACATAAGCATGGTTATATTAGAAAAGTAGTGAACCGCCCCCCCCCCCCCCCCCCCCCCACCCCCATCCTTTCCTCCTATTTCGCTGGTACTCAGATAATAACTATGACTTACAATAGCGTAGTCGTGATCTGAGATTTAGTCAGTTCCTCATCTCCTCATCCACCATAGCCTATGTCACTGGCGTACTGATGGGGAGGGGGGGCAACACATATTCAAACGTGGATTATTTCTAATTCGATACCAGTGAAATGGCATGATTTTTACCTGAGCTTCCGAGGGCTCTGCCCTCTGGACCCGGCCCACCAAGGGCCCTAAGCCGGGCCCCTGGATGCTCATTTGATCGGTTTTTAATGCCTAAAACCCCTGGGCTTCATGGGGCTCCGCTTCTTGAACCCCTTCTTGACCCCGCCGGGGCTTTGCCCCTGGACCCCACGCGAATTTACGCTCCACTTGCTTCGCTCGCTTTGCTCTACCTGATCGTAAATACTGTACAAAATGGTGATAATTATATAATATTTTTTATTTTTTTAAATTTTGGTCCATGTCTAATGAAAATGAGGTTTCGGTGTCATCTTTCTATTTGGGCTGCCTTTCTAGGCTATTTCTAAGTTTTGAATGGTCGACTTTAATTTGCGAAATACGTCAGTTCCTACACTATAAAAGCTCCATTGTTCTTCTTTTGTTAAACATTAAAATGTAACTTAAACACATTGGGGAAATATATAGGGCTTGAAAATGTGAATGTTGTACTTCCTTCGTTAATAAATTTGTTTATTTCGCTGAATAAAGATGATACATATTCGTCGCTGTTTTCACGAAGTGACGGTAGTGAACAAAAATTGCATTCACTTTGCGTTATGATTTTCCTCACTACCGTCACTTCGTGAACCGACAAATCCCTTGTCTTGTCTTTACAGGTGTACCTGAACCCGTCCATCGTCCTCCCTGCCTTCCTGGCTACCTACGCCATCAACCTCGTACTCAACATCGCTTGGTTATTCACCTGGGACAGACAGTACCTCCCAGTCTCTTTCGCTGTCCTCGCCCTGATTGCATTCACCCTCTATGTATGTGTCACCATCAACCTCTGGGCAGTTAATAAGCATATAGAACAGCTGTGCGAACATCACAGGTAAGTTTGGGCTACCCTTTTCTATCCCCCCCCCCCCTTTCCCCTTCCTGTTTTTGTCTGGGGGATTCTTTCCTTGGGCAAGTTCAAGATACACTGATTACCCGGATTGGTTACAATTATTACAAGTTCCGTTTTCGCCATTGGGAGGGAATGGTAAAAAGACAAATTCAAGGTATACTGATTATAATAGACCAGTTCACGGTTAGTACATTACTGCAATGACCCCGAATATCCACAGATCTTCAAAACATAAAGAGGTCCCACTTTGTACATTTTTAAATAATCACTCCTACAGCGATGGAGGTGCTATATAAATAGCCTGTGTTTCCCCTTTTCAAAGAATACTTCCACCTGTGTATCATGGAGTGCACTGCTTGTTGTGCATTAATGAATAATGTTACATAACTTTCATGAGCACGTATCCAGTATTTCGTCTCCGTTTATTTCAATATTTGCTTGTATCTGCTCATGCTCAGACTGCAACCGTGAACTGGCATATTATTACAGCTTTTAATCGGCCTTTTGTTGAAGGGGGCTTTGTATATGGGCAAGTTCAAGATACAATGATTATAAGCATTAAAGACTTTAACTTTACCTGATGATCAGACAAATAGGTGACACTTCACATGTTCATTGATCTTTGACTTACTCGTAAGACTAAAGCATGAAATCATTATCGGAACCCGACTGCGAAAGATTTCAGTAAATCATTGAAGCGATTTAAAACCTGCTCATGATGGAAGATTCTAATTTATCATTTGAAATTCTGTTAGCACCAGGTTGTTGGATAAATCTCGCCACTGAATGCGATTAACAGCTAAGCTATATTCTACCTAAATGACCTTACTGAATGATCTTACCGAATGGCCATACTGAATGACCTTAACGAATGATCCTTTCATCCAATTGTTCCTCCAGGGTTGATCTATGGCTGAACAGCTTTTTCATCACAAATGGTATCCTCATCTACGCGACCTGGACCACCATCGCCACTCTCCTCAACTTCAGCTCGGTCTTAACCTACTTCGCCGACGTCGAAGAAAGGACCGCCTCCCTCATCTGTCTCTCCATTCTCACTGCCGAGCTCGTCCTCTACTTCGTCGTCGATATGTACCTCCTCGAGCGCCACCTACGCTCGGCCTTCATGGTATACCCCGTCGTGATCTGGGCCTCGACGGCCGTACTCGTCAACAACTGGGACCCCGACAGTAGCACGTCTATCTTCACCGCGGTGATCGTCGCCCTGGCGTGTGCTGCTTTCGTAGGCAAGCAGATCAAAGGTGTCTGGTACTGTTGTTGTCGCAAGGATCAAACCACCGTAGCTAACAGTGACAAAATGGCGCTGCAAGATGTTGCCTGAGTGATCGACCGTCATTTCGGGATTTCGAAGTAATTGACTGTTTCACTTGCTTTTGAACGTAGACTGTGACTCATCTTTCAACAAGCTCATTATGAGATATGGTCATTACTCATGAATGTAAATGTCTATAAAAAACTATAATTTGAAGTTGCCAATTTCACCTCATATTTATCAGCAATAGGCCAAAGCAATAATGACCGATCAAGCTTGAACATGCAATGTACTGTGAGAATTATAGGCAGTGCTTTCATTAGAATTTGTTTTCAGAATAGACCAAATTATATTTTTCAAGAATATGGATGTATACATTAAATGAAAAAAATCCCTAGCCGCAGGGGCATCGCTATTGAGCCCCCCTCCCCCCTCAAATTATTTTGTTGGAAATCTTGAAGGCCAGCTAGGTCGGGATATTGTAAAACTATGTTTACATATGCTTATATTTTTGTTGTTGATCTTCGTTATTGATATATGATTTATTTTTTTACTTTTGTTTACTAGTAATGTTAGAAAAATCTAGACTCATGAGTGTGTCAGCAAATTTGGTCCTACTTCCCCAAAAGAGTGCCCCCTCCCCTCCCCCCCCCCCCCCCATTCGAAGTGGTCGTGAGAACCCCACCCCAGGCATACATCGCTTGAAATTTAGACGCAAATATCGCATTCGCTGTGAATTAATTTTCAAGGCATTAAGTTCACCTTGTATATACTTCGGTCTTGTATCAGCAACTCAAATCATTGTAAGTAGTTTGTAAGTAGTTATTATAGCATGTTTATAATCAGATTATACCTATCTTTGAAGAAAAGAAAAGAAAAGAATAGAGAATCTATATCACTTCTACGTATTAGGTGTTTTGTTTATGTATTTTACAAATAAAACTCAATTCAACTTTATTTGAGTACCCATTGTTTTTTCATTTTATGTATTTTCTGAGAAGAGCGAGAGTGATCTTCGTAGCGTAGGAATGTATTCGCAGATATAAAGAGCACAATTGTGTGAAACAAGGATGTGAAGATATTAGCTGTACAAGGGCAGATAAATGTTATTCGTTTACAACTTTAAAACGTATCGCGACGAATGCTGTATACATATTCATGAAGTAAAGTAATCATTATTCATTTATGCACCGGTTGCGACTTGTGAAGGTATTTCTTATCAAGAGGGCGAACAAAAAGTATCAATAGGGACTTTTAGATTTGCACAACGGAGAACGTGGACTGCCCTTTTAAGGCAATGTGACGTCCTTTTAAGGCATTGGCAGTGACGTCACATTGCCTTAAAAGGGCAGTCCACGTTCTCCGTCGTGCAAATCTAACGTTGTATCTCCCATCACTTTAGTACTGATTCTATAGTATAAAAAATCACAAAGTGGCAGGAATCCCATGTTAAAACATCAACGAGTAGCCTATTGTTGGGGTTATTTGCACATAAGCGATCTCCGAACTGGTCTAAAATATATCGCATCTGAATAGGCCAGTTTCGTAATGTAACCAAATTTAATGCATACGTCTTTGTGAAGTGCCTCAATAAAAATTATTTCATTTACCTGATAGGAATAATAGTATTTCAATAGTCAGAATGCAACTGCATATATTAAGAGTTGCTAAGTAGGTCAAGCCACAATGTTTGTCCAACCTGGCAACAACTAATGTATGCAGTTCGGATTCTGTCTATTGAAATACTATTATTCTTATCAGGTGAATAAAATAATTTGAATTGAGGCACTTCACAAAGACTTATGCATCAAATTTGGTTACATTACGAAAATGGTTTATTCAAATCTGTTCCGGATAAACATTTCTGCGTCTAATTGACCACTTCGTTGCATTTTAGAATAGTCACTGGCACTACCAAAAGTGTTTGAGGTGCTTCATGAATACCTGCTGTTTGCCATCATGTATAAAATACTGCCACCTGTGTATCATAGAATATACCGTCGGTTCTTTAATGAATAATGTTACATAACTTTCATGAACAATAGGCCATTTTCGTAATGTAACCAAATTTGCATATGCCTTCGTGAAGCCCCTCACATGCATATTCACCTGTTCTACACATTTTTACATAATAGCAGTGAAGGATGTTCCTTTGTCTACCACAGCAATTGTTGAGGGTAGAATGAGGAACTGTATATTTTGTCCTCTTTCTTTGTCCGTCATGTTCGTAGTGAATGCTGGACAAATAAGCCATTTTTGTAATGTAATCAAATTTGCATATGCCTTTCTGAAGCCCCTCATCAATACACATTATTTTATTCACCTGCTACGAGTATCTCAATAGTCAGAATCAAAACTGCTTACATAATGTTGCTAGATAGGACAAATATTACGGCTTGTCCTACGTATCAACACTTAATATACATGTATACAAATAGGCCATTTTCGTAATGTAACCAAATTTAATGCATCAGTCTTTGTGAAGTGCCTCAATACATATTATTTCATTCACCTGAAAAGAATAATAGTATTTCAATAGACGGAATCCGAACTGCATACATTAGTTGTTGCCAGGTTGGACAAACATTATGGCTTGACCTACCTAGCAACACTTAATATATGCAGTTTGCATTCTGACTATTGAAATACTATTATTCTTATCAGGTGAATGAAATAACTTGTATTGAGGCACTTCACAAAGACTTATGCATTAAATTTGGTTACATTACGAAAATGGCCTATTGCATTCTGACTGTTGAAATACAGTTATTCGTAAACAGGCGAATGAAATAATTCGTATCGAGACACTTTACAAAGGCATATGCACATATGGATACACTACGAAAATGGCCTATTTGTTCAGCATTCGTCTCGATTTCAAAGTTTTGTACAAATTACCTTTGTCTCCCAATGTCGAATCGTATCTCCGAAGTTTTCGCATGGCTACAAAAGAAAATATGCATACAAGAAGTGTATATCATATAGAGGGGTTTTCTGTATATATGTTAATTTGAGATTACATAAGAACAGGTTCTTAGAGCTTTCAATTTTCTTCTTAAGGATTTGCTTTGCACATAAATAAACTCTACCAATTACCTTCATCAGGAAGTTCTTGAAGAATAAACCTACTCTCTCATCCATGTGATTAAATGTGATGTAATTCAGACTTGTAATCTAATAGCAATGCAGTTATCAAAACACCCCTCTTCTCATCTTGTCAAACGTGTGATTTGTGAGACAGTCTAGAATCTAAATAATGCAAGCGAGCGAAGCGAGTGATGAAGAAATACACTTTTCTCTTTAAAATGCTATTTCCACATGAAGTTAATAGTTAAGCGGTTGGAGATAATATGTGGCGTTTCACAAAATAGATGTGATTTCGAAATTATTTTTTAAGTAACTAAATTTCTCTCGCGGCACAGCTTTGCCGATGGTAATCGTCACGCTTCACTGCATCACTGTAGAGAGGATACTGATGAGCCAAACTCTGATGTGGTAGGGGATCATAGTGACCATCATCACATTCGGCAGCTGTCATCGTATGTTTATGGTCACCATTCATTTGTCTGTTGAGTGGGTATGTCGTTCTGGGAATCGAAGTTGTCAGCTCCGGGAAATGCTGGTCAAAGGCATGGCAAAGACCAACCGATACCTCGTGATGACGAGGCTGACAGTTACCTCGTACGTGGCTGATGAGATTCCTTGCAAACATCCTCACAACCTCGTCGTTTAAATGGACACCATCATATCCAATATGGTACTTGGAGTTGATGTTTGCGTTGTCTTTGTAGAGCCATCCATGTTTTACCTTGAGACCATACGGGCAATTGTTGGTCTCTTGTAGTTTCAAATCTACTGTAGATTCCTCATTCTTATATACAGTGGACCTGAAAGTTATAATTTGTACTGATGGACAGGATCTAAGGAGGTGTAATCCAGTAGATTCAATCTTTATAGCTATCACATCGGGTTGACTGTCTCTAAGATTATTTGTCCGGACATGAATAATGACCTCTGTTACTGGTTGATCTTTGGCAATTGTGTTGCAATGTCACATGACTTCAGCTGTCGCTCCAGGGAGTGTCTAACAGGAGATTAGTTTGGAGCGAGACATTTTTAAGGGGTTTATTCTCCAAAGCATTGAGTCTCTGATTAACAATACTTCATCCTTTTGTTTGTTTTTATTGAAGAGCTTACTCTGTTTATTCCTATAGTCTTGAAATTGATGGGTCAGTGTTTTTGTGGTTTTGTTCGGATTTCGATCATTTCCATTTGTTCCCATTAGTAGATTTTCAATTTGTTTTCTAAGGCACATATCGTTGTTTCTCTTTTGTTGGTGACTACGGGGTCACTCACCTTTCGTTCCCGTGGAGTAGGGTCAGTGTTTGTCCTTTTCTCTTTCCTTTTGGCATTCATTAGAGGAGCTCTTCTTATTCTGCATTTCCCGCTTGATTGTGTTCTCACATTTAACCTTTTCACTACTCCTCGATTCTGGAGTTGGATTAACTTGAGCACTCTTATTAATGTCGATTAAAGGTAAAGACCAGTTATGGTCATGCGATTGCATTGTGAAAGAAACGTTGTGGAATCGATCAGAAAAGGTTGATCATCTAGCATCTAGCATCTGCAAGGTTCTGGAATCATCATAATGATAAGAAATTTGGCCCATTCTTCGTAAAGTTACAAGCACTATACACAGAAAGATGTATATGGGACTACCCTATATCTCTCACAGACCATGAGAGAAACAAATTTACCAAATATATGAATTAGTAGGCAGTTTCCCGGCAAATTTTGTATCATCATGTATTAGTCAAAACATATTCTTTCACATGATTGGTAATGAGAGCTTCCATTTCATTTTTTGAAATTGGGGCGTTTCCAATACTGGTCTTTACCTTTAAGGATAGCTGGCATTCATTAGCATCTAATCACTACAACTGCCATGCATTGTTCACACAGGGGTTTATCATAATCGCTCTCTGTAGGCGACCACATCAAAAGCATGGAGGGCTGTCATGAACGTCAATCATTATCGGACATTCTATTGTTTGCGGTTTATTCATGCATTTGGTCAAACTGTCATCTTGTTCAACAAGGCTGTCTTCCTTTTCGTTTCCAATGTAAACATCAGATATTAAGTTTTCATTGATACCAACTGTAAGGGCAAAGTGTTTGCAGAATTTTTTTCTCTAAATTTGGGAGAATGCAGCACGATTCACATTTAATGAGTTAGGTTCATTGGTGTCCCTTCCTTAGCTATTGATAGCTTGATTTTGTAATATATTTGGGCAATTTGTATTTAAAGCTCGGATTTCCTGGTATATCCTTACATGTGTTGCTTTAGCCATGTTTCATGGTCTACGTACATAGTTCAAGTAGAAAAGAGAAGACATGTTCAAATAACATTCTCACAATCGGTTGTTTCATTCATTAAATTTTTAGGCATAACTGTTGATAACGAACTTTCGTGGAAATACCATATAGATAATACAAGTAAGATCATTTCACGAAATATTGGCATAATAAATAAACTTAAATTTCATTATCCGACATCATCCCTACTCATGCTTTATTCATCTTTAATTTTACCATATCTGAATTATGGGATACTTACTTGGGGCAACACGCAGCAAACTCTACTAAATAGACT